GATTCTAATGAAACTTGGTAGGCTTGTGTGTCAAAAGATTCTAAAGTAGTCTATAAATTGGCATTTTTATGTCAATAGGGGGCACTATTAAGCTAAGTAGCATCTGTTCAGCCAGTCAAGCAGAGATTTTGCACGCTGCATCTTTGAGCTTACTTATAGTTGGGTTAATAAGTAAGGGTAATATTTAGAAAACTGTAGCCACCATGAGCCAATCAGCTTTCAGCAGACATTTGACAGACTTAACATTGACCAATCATCATGGAACTTCATTGGTATGTCTAAGTAGGGACCTGTGGTTACCCTATAAAATTTCAAAACAATTGACCACTGAGGGGCTCAATTTTTCCAACAGTCTAATCAAATATATTAGGGCTGGACCCGAATATTCAACTATTTGAATAATTGTTTATTGGGTAGGTATTTAGTTTTTAAGTCATTTTTTCATTTTTTGGGCTAAATTTATGCTATAATAAAAGGCAAACTACAAAATATAAACATTTCTTCTCTTTTAAAAACTGAACTGCTTACAGCATGGTGCGGCAACACATTCTTGTACTATATTTATACTTATTAATTGCCCTGAAGCGCTGTTTAATACATGCATACACTGTGCTGTTAGCCCCTAGCTGCCACTAAGAGAGGCTAGTGGGATTGGTAGACAGAACGAAGGCACACTCATAGTGTCACAGTGCTCTGCAAGGAAAGCAGCTAGTCTGGAGATTCAGACTTCACAGCAGAAGTAGCTGCAGATGTGCACTGAACACAGGTGTCAGAATTTTTTAAACAACTTTCTCAGTGCCATGTCTCCTTGAAAGAATATCTTATTTGAAGGTCCCTGATCAATAATCATGACATATGAAGTACACTTGATAAAGTCTGACTTCATGAGTATGATTTATCTGCTGTCTGTGAACAGGCCCCAGTCTGGCGCTGTGGACCTAATCAGTGCTTGGACTCCAAGTATTGCCACTTGCATCTATATATTGTGTTGTTTTACTCTTGATTGTACTTTTATTTAAGCGATGACTAAAAATCTTTGTGTTTAGTATGTTTGCTAGTCTTATTATCTTATTACACTATATCATTTATTAGTCTCTGCCGTGTTTTTTTGCCTAGTTTTCAGTCTGAGTCTGCTTTATTTCAGGGCGTGACTCCAACTGCTTGTGGTGGCTCCTTAAACTGGCAGCAGATACCTGGAGGTCTTTCCATGATTGAGGTTTCCACTGATGGAAAAGTCTATGGGGTCAATTCCAATGGAGATGTCTATCAGAGGTAGTTTTCTTAAGTAGTTATTATTGTGTGTAGTGGATGTTTGGTAAGAAATGTGGTAGGTGAGCGGCTCCCGAGTGGCGCAACCATCTAAGCGTTGGCCCTAGTTGGCACTGTCCTCTGAGTGCGTTCAACTGTCCAATGACGTTGCGTTAGCTGCAGTTTGAAAAGATGCGGTACAGCTTCACAGGTTTTGGAAGAAGCCTGTGCTAGCCGTCGCCCACTAGCGCTGGTGGTATTGTGTGATTGGGGGAGTCCTAACTAGTGGGTGGAATTAGACACGACTAAATTGGGGAGAAAAATGGTAGATGAATCTTGAAACGAGATACCTTTTCCTGTGATACCAAATGACCAATTTGATCGGTATTTTGCAGGGATGGTGTTTCACCAAGTAACCCTGGTGGCACTGAGTGGCGCCAAGTGCCGTCTCCTCAGAAAGTCAAGCATGTTTCCTACGATCTCGGCCACCTGTGGCTCATCAGCAGAGATGACAGCATCGTGGACTGCACCGAATAAAAGGAGCGAGACCTCTAGAGCCCTACAGTCAAGTTCAGATCAGACGTCCCATCCCTTCTTAGAGTCTCTGGGGATGAACAGCAGCACAAAAGAAAAAATAAAGTTATGATCTATAATCAACTCTTTCCTGATTAAATTTCCACCTTTTCTATTGCATTTAACCAAATCTTTCACATGTTGCTAGGCTGAAAAAGAAGGTAATATTGAGCCCAATGCAATAAATCTAAACTTTGGTTAACCAAATTTGAATCCAGTGTTATTTTTTCATTTCATATATTCTATGATTTAAGGGCTTTGTTTTGAAAAGTCCATGGTACTAGGACAGAAGCTTATAGAAAATTCCCTTAGAAAAATATTTCTTTTGAAAAAATAGAAGTTCTCTCTTATCACATGTAAAAGTACTGAGTAATTCTAAAGCAGCTAGAATAGCTGGGAATAGCTCACCCAGGGAATCTAAGTCCTGTCTGCTGGATGGAGAGCAGAGGTCTTACCCACTACACTGTACTTGACCACCAGCCACTAGTACTATGCACTGATGGTCTCCTACTATGCAGGTTGGTCTCCTCAGTGAGTCACATCAAATGGCTCAGTTCACCCATAATAATCTAATTAATCTCAAAGTAATTAATGACATTAGTAGATTTACAAGTTCATCATATATATTCAAGACTCCAGATGTGGCCATTACATTTAGTTTTACTTTGATGCTACTTAAAACATAGCTAATGTCAGAGTTGGGATGTAACAAAATACAAGTATTGGGAATATGTATTCAGAAAACAGAATATAAGCATTTGCATTACATCCCAGTTACACTTTGTAAAGGCAGTGTTTACAATACTGTGGTATCAGTCGAAGAAACACCTGGGTAACCAAGATTCTGCTGTCTTTATTGAGCACACAAGTAAAAAGGAGCACCTATAAGACACTGAACTTGAGAGGGAGGTCACCTCTAGCCACCGGCTCCACCCTGATGGTGACCCCCCCACTCACACAAAACCCACACATTAGCCTACTCCCTAACACCAAATAACACAAAGAACATTTACACAACAATTAACAACATTAAACAACACAAACAGTCCCTTTGTTGGAGGCCGCGCGCTACCATGAGCCTTTGCATGTGGTCATCTGCCTAGCCACACCTTCAGTCTCGAGCGTCAGTGCCAGATAGTAGCAGACAAAAAAAGTTGGGACGGGGGCCTGTTTACCACTGTGTTTCATCACCTTATTTTAACAACACTCTGTAAGCGTTTGGGGACTGAGGAGACACTGCTGCAGTTTAGAAAGTTCCCATTTTTGCTTAACACAGGATTTCAGCTGCTCAACAGTTCAGGGTCTCCTTCGTCGTATTTTTCATTTTATAATGCGGCAAATGTTTTCAGTGGTAACAGGTCTGGACTGCAGGCAGGTCACCCATGCCATGTGCACTAATGCCCCCTATACCATCATGAATACTGGCTTTTGAACTGTCCACTGATAACAAGCTGAGTAGTCTTTAGCCTGGAGGACACAGTGTCCATGATTTCCAAAAAGAAATTCAAATGTTGATTCATCAGACCACAGGACACTTTTCCACTTCACCTCAGTCCAGTTTAAATGAGCTCAGGCCCAGAGAAGGTGGCAGCATTTCTGGATCCTGTTTATTTTTGGTTTCTTGTTTGCGTTTTACAGTTTTAACTTTTGTGGATGCAGTGATGAACTGTTTTCACAGATAGTGGTTTTCAGAAGTGTTTCTGAGCCCATGCAGTGATTTCCACTACAGAATCATGCCTGTTTTTAATGCAGTGCTGCCTGAGGGCCCAAAGATCACGGCCAGCATATACTGATTCTTGGCCTCGTCCCTTACATACAGAGATTTCTCCAGATTCTCTGAATCTTTTAATGATATTATGTACCGTAGATGATGAAAAGCAGAAGTTATTTGCTATTTTACAGTGAGAGACGTTATTCTTGAATTGTTGCACTATTTGATGTTGCAGTCTTTCACAGAGTGGTGAACTCCTCCTCATCTTTACTTCTGAAAGACTCCGCATCTCTGAGATGCTCTTTATACCCAATCATGTTACTGACCTGTTGCCAATCAACCACCAGGTGTTTTTTTTCAGCATTACACAACTTTACCAGTCTTTTGTTGCTCCTATCCCAACCTTTTTGGAACATGTTGCTGGCATCAAATTCAAAATGGGCAAATATTTTTCAAAAAACAATAAAATTTCTCAATTTCAACATTTGATATGTTGTCTTTGAAGCATTTTCAATTAAATATAGGGTTTAAATGATTTGCACGATTGTATTCTTTTTATTTACATTTTGCACAGCGTCCCAACTTTTTGGGAAATGAGGTTGTAGTTATGTATTGTTCACAAACAAGTCAACTATTTGAGCAAATAGATTTTAATTTAAGTGAACACCGGGAGCTGACCCGGTTGAAGAGTCCTGTTTTTTTAACACAAGTCACATTGAAAGGTACTATGATCTCACTTGCTTGAAGTGTGAAACTTTCTTTCCTATATGTGACTTTTAATCTTGAGCCAAATCCAGCTGCAGCGTGCCAGAATGATTCAGACGCCTGTAGATGAAAAAATGGAAAAAAGCTTTACTTGTGAAATCATGATCCAAAATCATAGTCAGGTAACAGGCAAAAGTCAAATCCAACAGAGACAGAAAGTACAAACAAACAAACAAACATAACAATCAGCAAACAGAGTCCAGAGGGCAAAGGCAAAAAGGGAAAAGTCCAAAAATACAGAAAAGAATGTGATACCTCACAAAGATCTAAACTAAAAGCCTGGGCTTTATACTACTCTTACTAGGCAAACAAAGACAGCAACAGGTGAAACTGATTAGTATTCAGGAGAGGCTGAATGGTGATTGGAGAGGGGTGGAAGGTCAGGAGTCACATGATCTCCCAGAGGATTCTGGGAGATGGAGTCCATGGAGGAGTCCGGAGGGATGCATGACACCAGCAAGAACAGTCAGATATTTGTCTGAATGCGTGTAGTCTAAGCAACATTAGTAGGTTGCCTCACTGCTTGCTATCTTGCTATGATAATATTTTATATTTCATTGGAGTTACATGCAGTAAACAGACATTGCTTAGAACATGGGTCGGTTAAGAAGAGTCATTTTGCACTTTCAACAAAAATCAAACATCTTGGCTGTAAATATGTCTGTGTGTGCTAATGTACTAAATACGCTAAAAAGTATAATATAAATAAAAACACATACTTATAAAACTGGCAATGCCGTTGAATGAGAGCTGTTTAGGAGCTGAAACAGCCGGTTCTTATTGGTGAACTCTCCATTTGATGTAACTCACTGAGGAGACCAGCCTGGCCATCAATGCATAGTACTAGTGGCTGGTGGTTGAGTACAGTGTAGTGGGTAACACTTCTGCTCTCCATCCAGCAGACAGGACTTAGATTCCCTGGGTGAGCACAATAAAAGTGTCTGTAATAGCACAGCTATTCTAAAGCAGCTAGAATTACTCAGTACTTTTACATTTGATACTTAAATACATTAATTATAATTAAGTATGCAAGTAGAAATCTAAATAGAGGACTTCTGTTTTTTCAAGAGCAACACTTTACTAAAAGTATCTGCTTCTTTCTTAGTACCCTGGACTTTCAACACAAAGCCCTTAAATCATAGAATGTATGAAATGAAAAAATAACACTGGATTCAAATTTGATTAATCAAAATAAAGATTTATTTCATTGGGCTTAATATTACCTTCTTTTTCAGCCTAGCAACATGTGAAAGATTTGGTTAAATGCAATAGAAAAGGTGGAAATTTAATCAGGAAAGAGTTGATTATAGATCATAACTATTTCTTTTTTGCTGCTGTTCATCCCCAGAGACTCTAAGAAGGGATGGGACATCTGATCTGAACTTGACTGTAGGGCGCTAGAGGTCTCGCTCCTTTTATTCGGTGCAGTCCATGATGCTGTCATCTCTGCCGATGAGCCACAGGTGGCCGAGATCATAGGAAACGTGTTTGACTTTCTGAGGAGACGGCACTTGGCGCCACACAGTGCCAGCAGCGTTACTTGGTGAAACACCCTCTCTGCAAGATACCAATAAAATTGGTCATTTGGTATCACAGGACAAGGTATCTCATTTCTAAGACTCACCCACCACTTTCATTTCCAAATATCTAATATACACATTAATAACTACTTAATAAAATTACCTCCTATAAACATGTCCATTGGAATTAACCCCATAGACTTTTCCATCAGTGGAGACTTCGATCATGGACAGAGCTCCAGATATCTGCTGCCAGTTTAAGGAGCCACCACAAGCAGTTGGAGTCACACCCTGAAATAAAGCAGACTCAGACTGAAAATTCAGTAAAAACATGGCAGAGACTAGATCAAGTGTACTGCACAGGTCATGTTTATTGATCAGGGACCTTCATTTAAGATATTTTTCAAGGAGATGGGACACTGAGAAATTCATTTAGAAAATCGTGTCCGACGGCCGTGTTGAACGCAGATCTGCGGCTTCATCTGCTGTAAAGTCCGAATTTCCAGACTAGCTGCTTTCCTCGCAGAGCGCTGCAGCGCTCGCAAAGCGGCTTCGCTACGTCAACCAGGCCCGCTAGACTCTATTAGCGGTGGGCTAGGGGGTAACAGCACAGTGCATGCATAGGTTAACCAGTGTAAATCTAATAATATATATATAAAAATATAAAAACTGTAAATATAGTAGAAGAATGTGCTGACAAAATGTATTGTAAAGTTACCGTACCGCGATGTAAGTAGTTCAGTTTTCATTTTAAGAAAATGTTTATGTTGGGCTGTTTTAGTTTCATTCGTACAAAGACTTTTATGTTGAAGAGCCTCAATACGGATAGAGTGGTAGGTTTTCCAGAGCAGAGAGCTGTGTTTTTAGCTTTTAGCGTGGGAGAGGTTGTGTTTCGTCTTGGCGTGTTTTGCGCTGCCTTTAGCAAATTAAAAATTAAAGCTGCGTTAATAACCTCGATCCGTCTAAGTTTCCCCTGAGAACCCTTAATGTTACAGTATTTTGCAGTTCGCCTCAATCGATAATCTACATTTAACCCCAAAAAAAGAATATCCGAATCCCAAAATTAAAAATCGAATACCTACCCAATGAACCAACATCCAAATAGTCGAATTTTCGGGTCCAGCTCTAATATATTTGATTAGAATTTTGGAAAAATTGAGCCCCTCAGTGGTCAGTTGTTTTGAAATTTTATAGGGTAACCACACGTCCCTACTTAGACATACCAATGAAGTTGAAAAGTGAGCCTGTCAAATGTCTGCTGAAAGCTGATTGGCTCATGGTGGCCACAGTTTTCTAGTCATCATGCCAAGTTGTTTACAAATTTCAATATTTTTGGAAATTATTGAAGTTCAGGCTCTTGCGGATAATTCAACACCAATTTTGTGAGGATTGGATTAAAACAACTAAAAGTCCACAAAAGTAGTTTTTGGCAAAAAATTCTAATTTTTTTTCCCCCAAAAAGGGCCACTATGAGTTTTTTGATGAATTTTGGTTTAGTATGAGCCAATAAATCAGCAGCACAAAGCAAATATTTCTGTAAGCCTCATTGTGTTGGAAATATGGGCGAAGACGTAAAACACCATGCTGCTGTAGCGCCCCCTTCAGGCCAGTCGAACTTGTGAGCCTGAGTAGCGGGAGAGAGTACTACCATTTGACCAAGTTTCATGTCTGTTGGCCTTTTGGTTTGGTCTAGACAATTCATTTTAAGGTCTTTTTAAAAGCTGAATTAAAGAAAATGACAGTAAAGTTTAAAGATTTACCAAAAAACATATTTCAAAGCACAACATGCCACTTTTCACCACCTGGTTAACAGCAGTAATATTCACTTCAAGCCCTGTATGCTGTTTAACAAATCCTCGTAGTTGACATTATTATCTGTTGTATCTTCAGCTCTATTTGTAGATCACCTTCATAATGTAGATGTTGTCTGCAGCGTTGACTCCCCAGCAGCTGTACGGCCCACAGCTGTGGTACTTCAGCTTTCCTGGGATATGCTTCCAGGAAGAACCTTGCCCCCCAGTAAGGCAGTAGATATCATCATTCATGTTGACACCTGCTGGAGAGACCATTCCTCCTGCATCCACCTGTTTCAGCAGGCCTGGGAAGCAAGGGCAGACAAAGATGTAGTTTAGGGGCAGAAACAGAAATCAAAACACCTAAATGTAAAGACGTGGGGAAAAACCCACAGGTTGAGAAACACTGTTCTACAAGATGTTGGAGAGAGTCTGTGGGAATTTGTGCCCATTCAGTCAAAAGAGCATTTGTGAGGTCAGACACTGATGTTGGACGAGAGGGTCTGGCTCACAGTCTCCGTTCTAGTTCATCCCAAAGGTGTTGATGGGGTTGAGGTCAGGGCTCTGTGAGGACCAGTCAAGTTCTTCCACACCAAACTCACCCAGTCAGGCCTTTATGGAGCTGCTTTGTGCACTGGGGCTCAGTCATGCTGGAACAGGAAAGGGTTCTTCCCCAAACTGTCCCACAAAGTTGGAAGCATAGAAATGTCCAAAATATCTTGTTCTGCTGAAGCATTAAGATTTCCCTTCACTGGAACTAAGGGTTCTAGACCAACCCCTGAAAAACAACCCCATATCATCATCCCTCCTCCACCAAACTTTACAGCTGGTACAGTGCAGTCAGGCAGGTAACGTTCTCCTGGCATTCGCCAAACCCAGACTCGTCCATCAGACTGACTGATAGAGAAGCTGATTGGTCACTCCACAGAACACGTTTCCACTGATCCAGAGTCCAGCGTACTTTGCACCACTCCATTGTGCATTTTGATCTTAATATCCATACATATTATGGATGGAGTGGTGTAAAGTGGTGTGCAGCTGCTCGGCCATGGAAACCCATTTCATGAAGTAATTCAACAGAGGATAGGCACTGTGCGCTTCAGCACTCACCAGCCCTACTCTGTATATATGTGTACATATAAAACATACATATAAAACAGTGTAAACACCCCCAATCAATTGACATGTGTTGCACATTTTTCTAAGGGAAACAGCAGAGGTATTCAAACTCTGGGGCACAGGTGAGAGTTGAGATAGAAAATTGCAAGAAATTAATATTAAAAAAAATATTTCATAACACTGTCATTTTTATTTTATTTTGTTAGCCAGTTAATAATAGACAATAAAGGTTCTGGACAAATGGGATGATTTGCCCTGATTGCATGTTATATTGTGTAAGTTTTATCTGAAGTCCTCAAAAACTGGCAAGAGGGCATCGGGAGAAAAAAGTTTGAATACTTCTGCTCTACAGGGGGCACAACTAAATATGGCATCGTCTGCAAATTTGCTGAATTTAACTGCAGTATAAAATGTCACAAATTTTGTGCAGACACATTTTTATATTTTCCATAAGCATCCTGTAGACTGTATATATGAACATACAGGATGCTTATAGTCTCAATCCTGCCACATCAGCTCCTCTGCAACTTCTACAGGTCCACAGTGACCACATCACAGTCTGGTACGGCAGCTCCACTGCTCCACAAGTGAAATCCCTAGTTTCGAGTTGTTAAACTGGTCACCGCCACAGCTCCCACCAGATCACGAAGACAAACACTACTCAAACTATATACAAACTGTATCAGACTCTCTTCATGTTACTGCTGTCTGACTTTACTTGGACTGAGCACTTGAACAAACTTTCATAACATCATTTACTGAACATTTAAATATAATTTACACACTGGACCTGAGTCTATTTGTTGTTTTTGGTACTTATTGCGTGTTTACATATTATGTTATCCACTAGTACATGTGCGCTCATGTCCTCACCTAAATGTTTATGCTTACATGTTTATGCACCAGAGGAGTAGCTTGAACGTGTTTCGTTATACTCTACCCCTGTGTACGTATGATGAAATAGTTGAATTTAATTTAACTTAATTGAACAAGGATTTTTGTTTGTTTTGTTCAATGTTAAATTCAGTAAATAAGTAGTAACTGTGTATTACAGTGTGCAGAAGTGGGTACATTATTACAGTATATCTCCTTTTTTGTTGTTTTTCAGTTTTTGACATAATTTGAAAATACCTGTTGTCCTTAAAACGGCGTGAGAATTTCGCGAAGAATGGACCAAAAGAAACTGACCTAAATGACTTGGAAAAAAATCTGGTTCCATTGACTTACATTAAAAGTAAAGTAGGTTTTTTCCTTCTCCTGTAAAGTTACCATTTTGGAGATACGAGGTTTTGTTCTGACAGCAGCGATATGTTACATTACTGTATGTAACATGTCTGTGAAGTAAGACCAGCCCACCTGGAACAAAAACCCAATCTCCTCTCCCAAGTTTGTAGACGTAATTGTTGAAATCGACTCCCCAGACGCCAGCAGGTCCCACACTGACATGCTTCAGAGATCCAGGAACCTGGATCCAGCTGTTGCTGTACAGGGTGTAGATGTGATTGCTGGAGTTGACCCCAAACACTTGACCGTTCGAAACATCAATCTGCTTCAGCCTGCCTGGAACCACTCTACACTCCAGAGCTGTAACGATAGATAGATAGATAGATAGATAGATAGATAGATAGATAGATAGATAGATAGATAGATGAGAGAGCAGAAATAAGTATATCTATTGCATATTTACAGAGCATATAAGACAGATTTGTTCTATTTACATGAGATGTGGTAATGCACTAAGGGGTATAAGGTAGTTACAACACAATGAATATAAACATAACTATAAATATCAGCAGTGTTTACAGTCTAAAGTGCACAGTGCAAGGGTCATTACAGTTACAGGTTATGATATATTGCACAGTGTGTATTAACAAGAGAGGAGATACAGTGATGTGGTTCAGCACAGTTCAGACAACAATGGCTGTCAACCTAAAAAAATGACTTCATGTAGTAACAAGCAATTGAACTAGTTTTATTCCACTAAAAAATTACATTAATTGAAAGAATTGTTCATTCAAAGCATTTATTTAAACTGAATAAAACTAGCTAATTTAATTTTTACCACATGAAATATTTTTTTAGGTTGATCAGACAAACCATGTTTTACAGTGTAGCTTGATTGACTGATTAAATTAATTGATTGATTGATTGATCCTCAAAGGGAAATTGCTGTGTTGTAGCAGCAATTCACATAAATCCGCCAACACACATAACTTACACAACAGAGGCATGAAGTAGGTAAAAAATTAACAAATTACAAATATATACAACCCCATTTCCAAGAAAGTTGGGATGCTGTGCAGAATGTAAATAAAAATAGGATGCAATGATACGCAAATCATGTAAACCATATTTTAAGGGAAATACTACAAAGACAACATATCAAATGTTAAAACTGAGAAATTGTATTTTTTTTTAAATATATGCCTATTTTGAATTTGATACCAACAACATGTTCCAAAAAAGTTGGGACGGGGGCCTGTTTACCTCTGTGTTTCATCACCTCTTCTTTAACAACACTCTGTAAGCGTTTGGGAACTGAGGAGACACTGCTGTAGTTTAGAAAGTGAAATGTTTTCCTGTTCTTGTTTGATACAGGATTTCAGCTGCTCATCAGGTCAGGGGCTCATTTTTCATATTTTTCATTTCATAACCCTTCAAATGTTTCAGTGGTGACATGTTTGGACTGCAGGCAGGCCAGTTTAGCACCCGGACTCTTTTAATATGGAGCAATGCTGTTGTAATACATGCAGAATGTGGTTTGACATTGTCTTGCTAAAATAATCAAGGCCTTCCCTGAAAAAGACGTTGTCTGGATGGCAGCATATGTTGCCAAAACTTGTCTATATCGTTCAGCATTAATGGTGCCTTCACAGATGTGCACATCGCCCATGCCATGTGCACTAATGCCCCCTATATCATCATGAATACTGGCTTTGAACTGTGCACTGATAACAAGCTGAGTGGTCTTTAGCCTGGAGGACACAGTGTCCATGATTTCCAAAAAGAATTTCAAATGTTGATTCGTCAGACCACACGACACTTTTCCACTTCCCCTCAGTCCATTTTAAATGAGCTCATGCCCAGAGAAGGTGGCAGCGTTTCTGGATCCTGTTTATATTTGGTTTATTCTTTATGTTTTAGAGTTTTAACTTGCATTTGTGGATGCAGTGATAAACTGTGTTCAAAGTAGTTTTCAGAAGTGCTTCTGAGCCCATGCAGTGATTTCCACTACAGAATCATGTCTGTTTTTAATGCAGTGCCCCCTGAGGGCTCAAAGATCACGGCCAGCATATACTGGTTTTTGGCCTTGTCCCTTACATACAGAGATTTCTCCAGATTCTGTGAATCCTTTAATGTTATTATGTACCGTAGATGATGAAAAGCAGAAGTTTTTTGCCGTTTTACATTGAAAAATGTTATTCTTGAATTGAATTTGATCGTGCAGTCTTTCACAGAGTGAAATCCTCATCCTTATTTCTGAAACCACCAGTTGTGTTTTTTTTCAGCATTCCGCAACTTTACTACCCTTTTGTTGCCCCTGTCCCAACTTTTTCAAAATGGGCAAATATTTTTAAAAAACAATACAATTTCAAAGTTTCAACATTTGATATGTTGTCTTTGTACTATTTTCAATGAAATATAGGGTTTAAATAATTTGCACATCATTGCATTTAGTTCTTATTTGCATTTTGCATGGCATAAAAAAAGAATTTAAGATCCCTCTCCCTACACAGAGGAGGATCATTATAAACTACCATTGCAGTGGGCAGGAATGACTTCCTGTAGGAGCCCTTATAACAGCAGAGTTGAAGGAGCCTCCCAGTATCATCACGCCATCACTATTATTTATGTAGCACCTTTTCCATGCTCAAGGACACTTTACAATCAAAAGAACATGAACACATTTAAACAATTAACAGCAAAAGGACAATATAGGTAAACATTCAAGTATAAATGGAACAACAATAACAAAGTGAAAACAAGTAAGTCTTTAATGGAGACTTAAACGAGGATAGAGTGGTGGCATTCTGAACAGACTGGGAGAGACTTGGGAGCTACTACACTAAATGATCGACCACCCATAGAAATCAATTTGAATCTTGGAACACGAAGAAGGCCTAAATTTTGCCATCTTAATGTACGGGATGGCACAAATAGATGATGAAGCTCAGCCAAATACTGAGGTGTCAGAACATGCAAAGCTTTGTATGTTATAAGGAGAACCTTGTACTGAACACAAAATGTAATGGGCAACCAATGAAGACTCTGAAGAACAGGGGTGATGAGCTCATTCTTTTTAGAAAAGGTGACGATCCTAGCAGCTGCATTTTGAACATACTGTAACATTAGTGAGGGTTTTGACAGGGAGGGCAGATAGAATAACACTGCAATAGTCCAGCCGTGATGTCACTAATGCATGCACAAGTGTTTCTGCATCGGCTTGGCTGAGAAACGGTCGGAGACGAGAAATATTACGAAGATGTAAAAATACTGTCTTAACAATGCAATTGATGGGGATGTTAAAAGAGAGTGTGGGGTCAAAAATAACTCCAAGGTTGCGGACGTGGGGAGAAGGTGTTACCAGAATCCCATCAATATTGATGCCACAGATGAGGACAGATGAGCTGGATATCAGTGACTTTGAGCCAATTAAAAGCAACTCAGTTTTGCTGGCATTCAGTTTTAAAAAGTTCAAACTCATCCATGACTTTGTCATGAATACAGTCAGATAAAGCAGGCGGTGGTGTCGTCTGAACAGGGCTGACACTAACATAGATCTGAGTGTCGTCTGTGTTATGACAAAAACTTAAACCATGATAGCATATTATATGGCCAAGTGGCAGAATGTAGATGGTAAAGAGCAATGGACCTAAAACTGAGCCCTGTGGAACACCCTTAGAAACAGACAGCATAGAGGATTTATTATTCTGAATAGCTGCCATCTATCACTAAGATGTGAGGAAAGCCAGGAAAGGGCGGATCCGGTAATACCAATGCTGTGCATTCGAGAGAATCATATATAATGAGATATGGTATGCGCACGACAGTAGGTCATGTAGGGCATGTGAAGTATATTTTACTGAGCAATTTGTGCAACATCCTTCTCTCAACAACCAAATCTAGGGCTTCAAAGCAGTCCCCAGCACAGAGCCAGCCTTCTTCTGCAACTTGTTCCATTTCTTTGTGTCGCTGGCTCTGATGCTGCTACCTCAACAGATTGCTGCGAAGAAAATTGCACTTGCAGCAACAGACTGGTAAAAGATACGCAACATCTTTCTGCACAACATGATCGCAGTGATACACCACGAGATAGGAATGGAAACAATGAGTGAAAAACACATTCATCACCCACGTCAAGAATTGTTGGCCTACATTCACTGTACTGAAATGTCTAGTAAACACAAAACTAAAACTCAAGAGGAGAGGTGGATAGTTTTTCACAGGTGAAATATCTGAGCAGCAGGAGAGACTTGTGCTCAAGTCTCTTTTCTAGGGGAGATTCAGAGTGGTGCACCAACCGTAAGTATCAAACCAAGAGCAAGTCTGGGTCAAAAACTGACCATTGATGGAGGAGAAATAGAGGATAGCTAATACAAACTTTAACACATGTACTGCAGTCTTTAACTGGACACCAGCAAGGTGGAGTGGTTTCTGATAAAGTGGACAATTAGTATACATTTAGGGAAAACAAGTATTCAGACACTTTTGTTTTTTTATTATTGAATATACTACTATTGTATATAACCACTTCAGATTTATATGCATAATGTGTTTTTGACTTTGTACATATAAGGTCTTTTCTATGGCTCTGTAGCTTTTTCTGTTCATGTTGTTTAATGATGCTCTTCTTGAGAACTTCAGGAAGCTCCTTCAGTCGTTTATAATGACACCAGGTGAACATTTTTCATTTTGCTTTGGAGAATTCATATGTAGAACATTTTTTTTTGGTTTATATTAACTTTTACAAATATGTATATTTTAATAAAGTGTCTAAAACAGTCTTTTCTGTTTGAGTACATACTTTTTATTCACGTTTATAAGCACAAAGTCAAAAGACATTATATGTGGATATATGTACTGTATATATATCCCTTACTGTATATGTTCATTTTAAAGAGACACACATACTCACCCAGGGAGGTGATGCAGAAGCTGAGGAGAACAAAGAGGACTGCTGTTCTCTCCATGGTCTTCAGTCAGAGTCAGTGTTCGTCTTGATTAGAACTGCAATGCTGAGACTGAGCAGACCTGGAGAGTATATATAATCAAAGAAAGAGGAACAAACTCAGGTAAATCTGATGAAGGAGCCAAGATAAACCAGAAAGGGCCAATCAGGAGGGGAGGATCCTGGGGAGATGTTGAAGTTTATGACTTTATTGTGTTGTGCTTGACAATAAAAGTGAGAATTACATCTCAGCTTGTATGTCAAGTATAACAATAAATTCATAAATGCATTTCCATTGAAGTCCTTGATAGGTAACAAGGCAGGTGACGGGCAGGTTATTCTGTTAATGAATGTGCCCCTGAATATCCAAGAGACCTCTTACTGATCATGGTACTAAAGCTAACTAAAGTAAGGTCAGCAATATTGTGTCTTGTAAATATGAGAGAAATAGGTTTCCAGATAACTCGGGAGCATCACTGTTAATTTCTCTATGTGCCATATTAATCTTTAACTGTAATTCCACAGGTAGCCCATTAAATCCTTAATCTGACTTTTACCTGCATGGTCTTGAGGAATGAATCCCATCAGTTTATTTTGTGATATTTGTGATTTTTTTTTACTCAGGCCTTAGACAAATCCGCCATCCGGGGGTTACTGAGATAATCAAATTGATACTTAACATCATCACAATGTCCAAGAATTGTGCCTGTCTAGAAAGGAACTTGGTATCTACTTGTCCAAGTGACCAGTCGCGAAATACATGCTTGCCATCTGGAATTTCCCATGTAGAACACAGCTCAGCCCACACCAGAAAAATGTCTCAATCTCATTAAACTCAAATCACAGTTAGCTATATTTAAAATGTGCCTTAAGACAGAACATTAGAATGCATCATTATGCTGGAAGCCTCCTCTCCTTTCTCCTTCTCTGAGCACATTTATAAAACTGACACATCCTTAAAGATAGTGGACTGCAATCAGTTTCTAGGTCACAAGCTGGAGGAAGTAGGAGTGAGAAATCGAGAAGATATCAGTTAATGGAAGTCACCTATAGTGTCATGGAAAAGTATTACTACTATTTTTGTGTGTCAATCTTGACTATTTCTGATCTTTAAACCAAATTTTAAATAAGACAAAGACAACCTGAATCAACAAACAATCATTTATTGAAGGAAAATAGTTATCGAACACCAAGTGGCCCTGTGTGGAAAAAGAAATTGCCACCTTAGTAACTTAATCAACCAAACCAATATTTAGTTGATACGTGGGATCAATTAAACAAGTTAACCCACACCAGCTTGACATACTTCCAGCCCTGCTGAAACTAAACATCACTTAAATAAGACTTTTTCAGCAATGTGAAATAGGCTAAAAGGTGTCAACAGCAGAACACTATGCTGTGATCAAAAGAAATTCTGGTTATTGAAATATAACAGTCCATAAATGGTTACAAAGGCTCTGGGATGCCAGTGAACCACAGTTAGAGACATTATCTCTAAATTGAAAACTTGGTGAACAGCAGTGAATCCTTCTAGAAGTGCCCGGCCTACCAAAGTTCCTCCAAGAGCACAGCAACAACTCATCCAGGAAGTCACAAACATCTAAGGAACTGCAGGCCTTGAACACTGAACAAATTCAGTGTTTATAATTCCACTATTAGAAAGAGACTGGGGGGCAAAAATGATATCCATGGGAGCCAAAATAAACATAAAAGCTCACCTCACATTTTTAAAAAACACCTTTTACAATAAACCAAGCCTTTTGAAATAATGTTCTGTGGACTGATGTGTTGAAAGTGGAACTTTTTGGAAGACAGAGATCCTGTTATATCTGGTGTAAAGCTAATCCAGCATTCTACAATAAGATCATCATACCAACAGTGAAGCATGGTGGTGGTGGTGTGATATTGAGGAGATGCTTTAATGCGTCAGGGGCTGGATGACTTGTCGTAGTTGATGGAACCATGAATTCTGATCTCTACCAAAAAGCTCAAGCCCAGCTGGGTTATACAGCAAAACAACAATCCAAAGCACAAGGGCAAGTCCACCACTGAATGGTTCAAAAGAAACAGTATTAAAGCTTTTGAGTGGCCTAGACAAAGTCCTGAACTCTATTGAGATTTTGTGGTAGGATATTAGGCAGTTTAAGCTCCAATGTGGCTGAATTAAATCAATTCTACAGAAAAATGTGGGCCAATATTCCTCCACAGCGATGTGAAAGACTGATCTGGAGTTAAGAAGTGTTTGGTTGCACTTGTTGCTTCTAAAGGTGGCACAACCAGTTAGTAAGTTTGGGGGCAATTACTTTTTTGACAAAGGTGCTGCATAACCTTTTTCTTCAATAAATAAATGATGAAATTATAATTTAAAAACTTGTTTTGTATTTTCTCATCATTCTTCTTGCCTTGTGTATATTTTATGAGGATCTGAAACCATTTAGTGCGACAGTTATGCAAAAACAGACTAAATCAGAAATACCTTTTCACAGCACTGTGTGTTTTTATTAAACTTGTTTATTGTGTTTTCTATTTTTAGTTTTAGTTATTTCCTTTCTATTTTACTTGGTTCTTCCTTATAAATTGCATATTACACCAATTGCTACCAGACATCTGCACACAAATATTGATTGTGTCGCCAATAGATCCATATATGGCTGATCATGTGTTTTCCTGACTTTCACTGAATGTGTTTTGTAGGTGTGCCCTGACTTGTATTTGCTTAAAACAGAATGTCTGTTATTTTAAGTATATGTACATACAGCTATGTGTATGCTTCACACACAAAAAGTCTGTTGTCCTGACATGGTCTTTACCAGTTGAACCAATAGCTGTAGGGCAAGGGTTTTACAGTGGCGCTAAAACCCAGGAAGGATGGTGATATGGTGTGATGGAAATCTTCCTATTAGGAGAAGTGGTTAACTTCTAAAACTAGGACCTCGTAAACCCCTATCCCGTACTTATGCCCCCCACTTTCTTCCATTCTTCTCTCTCCACTGCTCCCTTCATTTGAATTTTCCGCTCCACATTAAATTGTACTACAGTTACACTGAGGTGCCTTAAACGTCAAGCGAATTTTGAAAAACTGCCAAAAGCAAAGCCAACACCAGCTTTCCTCAATAAATGCATTAATTTACCTTGATAAATGCATTAATTATGCTGATCTAACGCTGCATCCCAAACCGCACACTTCTGTACTTCACCTGCTGAACTAATGAGTGCACTTCTAATGGTATATGCACTAATTAACACACTAGTTAGTGAGAAACCAGGGCTATCGTGGATCTGTCCTGATGGAGATTAAATGTTATATACACACTCACTGTGGAAGCACTGAATTTATGTCATGGCTTGTAATAATAATGGAACCCTTCTAAATAGAACCATGTGAAAAGAACCCTTTATGGTGCTATAATGAACACTTTGGCCCTTTTTAAAATTAGATAGAAAATTCTACTGGAAATCGAAATGCTATTGCATAGATTGCTTCATAAAATGACTGGTGACCATATTATACTCATAGTTGTATTCATGAGTTAACTCATTTAAACAAGGCTGGTTAAAAATGTATTGTGATGTTGAAGAACCCCCCCACACACACACTCACACATACCAGCTGATATACATTAAAGCCAATTCACAGAGAGAACCGAATACTTGTTTCGGTGTAACAGGAAGAAATCGCTCCTCCTTTTTAAATTCAAACAGTTATACTGTATGTATTTTCTTTTGTTTCTTTCTCCTTTTTGTACATACCCGTGAGAGTCCCACAAGAGAGGGAAACACTTACAACTCAAGACTAGAGGATTTTTACCAATTACCAGCTGAGTTAGAGCAACGTGCACATTGCGGCAGGAACACAGGACTGAGCAGAGAGTAGCGTGTGGGCACCCCCTAAAAAAGACACAAAGGTCATAATATTTCTGACTTCAGTTGAGTTTGAACAAACTGCCAATGCTGTTGAATGGAGAGCTGTTTAGGAGCTGAAAGAGTCTGTTCTTATGGATGAACTTAGCCATTTGATGTGACTTACTGAGGAGACCAGTCTGGCCATCAATGCATAGTACTAGTGGCTGGTGATTGAGTACAGTGTAGTGGGTAAGACCTCTGATGTCCATGCAGCAGACAGGTGTTAGGTTCCCTGCCTGGGCGAGCACACCACAGTACACCAGTAAGAGTCCTTGGTCAAGACTTCTAACTCTACATTAACCTACTTCTGGGACAGGATTTAACTGTAAGTCGCTCTGGATAAAGGTGTGCCAAATGCATACATGTAAATGGGTTAGTAATAGTATAGCTATTCTAGTACCTAGAATAACTCACAGTACTTTTAAAACTGATACATACATTAATTATTATTACATATGACACTAGAATAGAGGACTTGTGATTTTTACATTAGTAATATTTTGCTAAGGGTAACTGCCTTGTTTCTCGTTCCCTGGACTTTTCAAAAGAAAGTCAAAATAAAATCAAATAATAAATAAAATGAAAGAATAAGACTGGACTCAAATTTGCTTAATCAAAGAAAAGATTTATTGCAGTGATCTTAATATTATGTTCTTTATACAGCCAGAAAAGTGTGGAATATATGGTTAAATGCAATAGAAAAGGTGGAAACATCCCCAGAGACTAAGATGAGATAATTTGTCTGATCTGAACTTGACTTTAGGGCTCTAGAGGTCTCGCTTCTTTTATTCGGTGCAGTCCATGATGCTGTCATCTCTGCCGATGAGCCACAGGTGGCCATTACCGTAGGAAACATGCTTGACTTTCTTAGAGGACGATACTTGGCACCACCCAGTGCCAGCAGGGTTACTTGGTGAAACACCATCCCTGCAAGATACCGATCAAATTGGTCATTTGGTTCCACCAGACAAGGTATCTTATTTCTATAAGACTCAGCTTCCACTTTTATTACAAACCATCCAATATACACAATAATAACTGCGTAATAAAATTACCTCTGATAGACATCTCCATTGGAATTGACCCCAAAGACTTTTCCAACAGTGGAAACGTCAATCATGGAAAGAGATCCAGGTATCTTCTCAAATTTTAAGGAGCCACCACAAGCAGTTGGAGTCAAACCCTGAAATAAAGCAGACTCAGA